CTCTGCGGTAGCAGCCTTACAAATCCAAGAATTGCTGCTGTGAGCCTAGAGAGCTGCTCTCCCAGAAGCCCAAGATGGGAAGCGATTGTCCAGATTAGAGCGCTGAGTACAGACTGAAAGGTCTCCATCGGAGAGCTGGACAGTGACTAAGGATGCCAGAAGAGGAATTGATGCCTGTGAGCTGTGGTGCTGGAGAAGAGTCTCCACCGTGGACCACCAGGAGAACAAACAGGTCTGTCCTGGAGAGGGTGAAACCAGCTCCTCCTTGGAGGCAAGGGTTTTAAAGCTCCAACTGACATACTTTGCACGTTTCCAGGAGCTCCCTGGAGAAGGATCTCGTGCTCCGAAGGGTGGAGGTTCAGTGCAGGAGGGGAAGTACCTGGATGAGATGGATTGATACAGTACCTGGGGCAATGGGGGTTGGTGTGTCGGAGTCAGTGAGACTGGCTCAGGGCAGGGCAGGCTTCAGAGCTGGGTACTGAAGATTGTTACAAGTCCCAGGTGACTTGGAGGCACAAAACAATAGTAGAAAAGGGAGTTCTGATGGCCTAGTGGTAAGGAGTTGGACTGCAGTCCCAAAAGCATGTGGTTCAAATCCACGAGCTACTCCTCTGCAGGATGGGCTCCTGTGCAATTTATGGCCTCCTGTGCAATTTCCAGCCTCAGAAAACCCGGTAGAGGGTCACCTGAGTCGGTTCTGACTGGTCGGCAGTCACAGCAACTACCACAGCTGCATGAGAAAGCAAGGACTTCGGTTGAGGTCTTGATGGCGAAAGGGGCTACCAGGAAGGCTGGGGACTCAGACCCACCCCGAGGTGCCCTGGAATCTTCTGGAGCGCTGCTTCTGTAAGGGCACAGGCACTGGGAACTGGGGCCTCCGTGAGACGGGGCAGGCTGGACAGAAGCTCCTTCCGAGGTGTCTGACAGGCGGAAGGCCTCCTTGTAGAAAAATACTAAGTCGAGCCGTTCTAGGAGCAGACAGGACCTCAGGCCACAATGAAAGACAGGCCAGGGATGGATTATACCCTGTGGACCGATCCCTGCGCTGACAACCTTTTAGACTGAGGGTGCAGGGGCAGTACGTCCCTGGCCCCATCGCAGTAGCACCTCCAGGTCCTCCTGCTGAGATATGACTGAGCAGAGCAGAGGCCGAGGGTGAGAGAGGTGTCTGCAGGCACCGCTGAGGAACCGTGGCCCGAGTCGTTTCTGACCTCACGTAGCCCCATGCTCGTGGGCGTTGGCTTAGTTCTGTGTGGTCACCACAGTGAATTCGTGAACAGGGAGCGTGCGGGAGCCACGGCTGGCTGGTGCAGAACCGTGAGCCGGTGGAGGTGTGCCTGGCGTTGCTGCTGACGCACATCCCCTTGCATGCTTGCATGGCACCTGCCCCGGAATGGCATTACTCCTCAGCCTGTGGCACATTCCTGGGACAGCCCAGCTGCGACCTGTGGGCACAGTCCATCGTCCTGGTGTCTCCCCGAGGAGTTTTTCATCTGCTCTGGCCTCTTGCCCGGCACTTGGTCCCAGTCTCTCCTGCTTGTCCTCTTGTCCTCGCCACCAAATGAGTAGCCTCACTTCTCTGCCTAGTCTTTTATTATTTTTGTTATTATTACTTTACATCCCCCTCTTGGAGAAAGTACAACCAGAGAGCTCCCTCGAGGGTGGCCGAGCTTCGTCTCACATACTTGGGGCACGTTATTAGGAGTGGCTGTTATTGGAGAAGAAAGAACATCCTGCAAAAGAGAGGAAGACCTCCATGAGGTGACAGACACAGTGAGCGCAGCAGTGGGCTCCAGTGTGTCAGAGCTGGTGAGGGCGGCATGGGACAGGGCAGGGCGCAGAGGTTTGTTCACAGGGCCACTCTGAGATGACCACGACCCGAGGGCACCTCGCCACTTCCTCCCTTCACATCACTGTTAACCCTCCAGGGTTGAGTCGGGCTATGGCCCTGGGCTGGTGGGGCGGCATCCCCAGGTCCGCTGTTATGTCTAGTTCTGCTTTTCCACTGCTCAGCTCACATCCAGGTTCCACTCAGGGGCGCTGACATCTGTGGTCCAGATGGACATGCCCAGAACTCACCAATGCTTCTTTCTGGGTGATCTTGGCAGCCTTCTTCCATGTGATTTATAGCTTCCCCAAAACAAGCTGGAGTGACCGCTACGTGTGGGGTCTTACCCATCAGCTGTGCAAGAATTTATCAAGTCGGTCCCTGCCCTCGGTCCCCCGACTTACTGGTGGCCCAGGTGTGCTTTCCCTCCACACTGCTCTTGGCTTCAGAGGACAGGACACCAGAGCCTGTGGGTCACAGGTTCCCTGGGACAATCTCGGTCTTTGTGGATGCATCTGTGTTCGTCACTCTGCATTCCCTGTTTCTTTCTGTGTGAAAATGCCTTCATGTCACCCTCAGCCTCTGCCAGTTAGTAGAGATTTGAAGAGAGGAATCCTTTTCTCACCTCACCAAAGATAATCAGCTTCCTATCTGGCGATCTCTGCTGATACTCTGGAAGACCAGACGGTCAGATCTGCTGTTGATGCTTTATCTTTTTTCCTTGAAGTTATTCTAATACTGAGCAAGTGAAAGTCAGCTGAGATGATTGAGCACTGCCCAGCCTTTGTCCAGGTGGGGCAGCAGGTAAGGCCTGTTAATTGTGTCAGTCCGTCTCCTTCAGGGTCTTCCTCTCCTGTGCTGTCTCTCCACCCTTCCAAGTGTGATGTTCTCCAAGGACTTAGCCCTCCTGGCAGCATATTCAAAGTATGTCAGATGGAGCTTCAAATCCTTGCCTTAAAGGAGCGGCTTGGTTTCACCCTCTCCAGGATAAACCTGTTTGTTCTCTTAGAGGTCCATGGTATATTCAATACTTTCTCTAGCACCATAACTCAGAGACATTGGTTCTTCTTCTGTCTTCCTTAGTCATTTTCCAGCTTTGATGCGTAGCAAGTAATTGTGAAGACCATGGCCTGGGTCAGGCACACCTTAGTCTCTAGACTAATGTCGTTGCTCTTTAGCACTTTGGAGACATCCCTGACAGCAAATTTACCTAATGCAGTTCTTTGGATTTCCTGACTGCTGGTGCCAGGAGTGTTGATTGTGAACCAAACAAGCTGAAATTTAATGTGGTATAGACTTCCAAAGAAGAAAAGACATCTGTAGAAGCAAGATGGCAACACTCGGTCTTCTGTACTTTGATCCTGTTGTCAGAGAGGCCAATCCCTGCAGAAGGATGTGCTTGGTGAATTTGAGGGTTGGCAAAGTAGAGGAAGACCCTCAGGGTGGTGGGGACACAGAGGCTCAACAGTGGTAAGGCACCCCAGTGACGCAGGACCAGGCTCTGTGGCCCTTCTTTGAATCACTGAGATTTGTTTCCTGTTTCCTGAAATCATAGACTCCAAGGACTTTAAATGTCATCAGTAAGAATGAAGTAGCCCGTTTTTGCTCTGAGGACCGACACACTTCACACAGATGTGAAGCAGAGCATATGCTTGACAGAGGGCAGAGAGAGTTAAGGTCAGCCTGTGGCTGATAGCTGGAAGCTTGTGGTCACGTGCTCACACAGGCCTGCAGTGTTAGCCTAAAAGTTGGCTTTTTTTAGCCTTTAGTCCCTCCCCTCTGGTCTCCCGCTACCTTAACTGCAGGCACTTGGTCTTGCAAATCACCATCAGCTGTGGGACTAGGATAAGGAAAAAGTGTTTTCCACATTGAGCAGCAAGGCTTGTGGCAGCAAGACCGTGGTGGTGGTGGAGAGACTGTGGCACTGCTATAGAAAAATGGTGGCAGGGTGCAGGCCATAGTTAAAGGTTTGGCTGCTCTTGCCAGATGCTTGAGGGAGAAGCTGATTTATAACTGCTCTGAGGCAAACCTTGCGGGATGATTTGGATTTGACTGCTGAACTGAAAGCAGAGCCTGGACTTGCTGAGGAATTGTGCCTTGGAACTTGGACATGTTTTGGGTGATAGTCTTTGCCTCCCCCACTCTTCAACTTCCTCCCCTAATAATCCCCATTGTTGGTACCATAACTGTGAGTCTTTGAGTCAGCCATAAATAAAGGAAGCTCTTGCTGCTGGTGGGGCCCGTTGAGGCCCCATGGTGCTGGGCTCTGGGCCCTTTGCTTTCTGCTCTGGACGGTGAGGGCTGTGCTATTCTTACTGCCTCTGGGCCTTTCAGAGAGGCACTTGTGGCCCTGTTCCCCCATGTCCCGTTTTCTCCCCTTCAGACGCCTCCTCTCTCCCTCCAGACCTTCCCTCCTGGTTCTGACACCTGCCTCCCCCTTGTACCATCTGTTCTTCTGCTGGGCTCTGTAATTCACTGCAGTGGACACATACTACAGTGCTCATGATTGTGGGGTTCCCCGTGGAAGGGGCAGCATCGGGAGGCTCTACACCCATTTCTTCCATCAGGATAGTTACTCGGCTGTGCCCATGAACAGGTGTCTCTCCCGCCACCCTGGCCAGGGCCAGGAAGCTCCTCCAGTAGATGCCTCGAGTTCCCTCATTCTGGCTGCAGTCCTCAGCCTGAGCCTACACAGCTCTCCCGGGGCCTGAGGTGCCCCACTCGGCCAGCAAGCCCAGCCTGAAGGCACTCAGCTCTCGTCCCCTGGGCTCTGCTGTCTGTGTGCCCCTGTTTCTCTACTGCAGCTTCCCACCGTCCTCCGCAGGTTCTGGTGTGCAGCCCTCTCTGTCTCCTTGGTCTAGCAGGTTTCCAGCATGGGGACTCCAGGTCTGAAGCAGACGCTCCACTTCCGTGTGGGGTGATGGGCTCAGGTGTGGGAGGCTGGCCTGATTGATTGCTGAGGGAGTCGGGGAGGAGATGAGTGAGCAGAGAGGGTCCCTGTGGGGGTGAGGCCAGATGCCCTGAACAGGAACACTCACAGCTGTGGACCATCTGCATTTCAAGTCACAGGAGGGCCTCAGAAGTGCTGCCAGCCCCACCTGAGAACTGCTCACTGAGGACGGCCTCCAGGTGCCCAGCACCCCGCTGAGAAGGTTGTCTTCTTCCTCCCCAGATGAAAGGTGCCCTGACGGAGATCATCCAGCTGGCCACCCTGGACTCGGACCCCTGGGTCCTCATGGTGGCCGACATTTTGAAGTCCTTTCCTGACACGGGCTCACTTAACCTCGACCTTGAAGAACAGAACCCCAATGTGCAAGACATCCTGGGCGAGCTTCGAGAAAAAGGTAGGCCGTGCGGCTTGGGTGCGCATCAGAGGGGGGAGGTGACATGAGCGTGGGGGACTGCGGCTGTCACGGAGCGTTCCCCGGCACTCTGTGCTTCCTGGCATCACCGACACAGCCGGCCCCTCTTGGACATGCTCCTGACGGCCACCGGCCTCTGGGCACGGCCCTTGATGCCCTGGAAGCTGCTACCTGACTTCTCAGTGTTCCTGTGCAGCCTCTCCCCGTGAGACGGGCCTCTGCTCATCAGAGGTCCCAGCCTCTGGAACATTCCTTCGTCCACAGTGTAGGAACCACCCAGCTCAGAGCTTCAGAGCATGAACGGGAGGACGAGTAGGAATGCCGTGGTTTCAAAGCGTGAACCGCCACCGTCTCGGACACTGTAGTCCCACTGTGCTCACATGCTCCACCAGGGAAGAGAGGTTCCCCCAGGACACCCCACCCCCGACACGTGCCACAGGCGTGCCTCCTCCCAGGGCTGTGCTGACCCCGTGTCACCGTGGCCAGAAGGCTGAGGGGCCGCCACCCGCTCTGGACAGGTGGTGCCCTTGCCTGGGTCACTCTGTGTCCTCTCCTGTCAGTTTGTAGCTGATTAGATTTGGTGGCCAGGTGCCCCGGAGGGTTCTTGGTGCAGGGAGGGTTTTGTCACAGGCTTTGAGGTTTCTGTACTCAGAGTTGCCAGGTGCTGGGAAGATGCTTAGATTTGTGATGCGGTGAGCTTCAGGTCCAACCCAGGTGTGGGCTGGCACCGTCCAGTGTCCACTACGCTCAGGACCATTGATATAGTCGCTGCGACAGTCTCTCTCGCCAAGAGCCTTCTCTTTCCCTGACCTTCTCCTTTACCCTGAGAACTGGTCCTTCCAAAGGTGTGGAGTCACGTCCCACATCCTAGCTTCTAGAGGGCATTTTGGCCATAGCTCCTCCCGGACGCTTGTTTGTTGCTCTGGCCGTCACTGCTACTTGGTACCTTCACCAGCACCACAGCACAGGTGGTTTACTAGGAAGGACCTTCACTGGCTGCCCAAAGGTTCAAGTCTCCCAGGTGCTCTGTGGGACAAAAAGCTGGACATTGTCCTCTCATGCGATTTACTGCCTCTGATAGCCCACTGGAGGGTCGGTTCTGACTCTAGGGTACATAATGACTCTACCAACACAATTCAGAAGCATTAATTCTTGTTTGGTTTCCCTTATTCTCTGTCCAGCTCTCACATGTATATGAAAAAGTTAAGAATCATTTGGCTTGGCTCGGGTGCACCTTAGTCCTTAAAGTGGCTCTCACGGCCCGTGAGTATGCCGTTTGATTTGGGACTGTTGCTTCCGTGGATGTTTGTGGAATCCTTGACAACGGCAGTCTTTGCTGACTTGTCATAGACGCTCTGTGCACAGCTGTGTCCACTCAGTAGCTCTTGGAGAGCAGGGGTGCCTGACACTTGGTGCTGGAACCCCAGGCTGCCTCACGTCAGCTGTCTGTCCTTGGGGCTTCTGTCCCCTGGTTGGAGTGTGTCCGTGACAAGGTGGGCCACCATTAGATGCCTGAGTCCTGCCAGTGGGGGGAGCAGAGGAGGGGGTGAGGTGGTGCTATGACCAGTGGTGAAGGTGAGGTCGTTCGTCACCTCGTGCCCCCACAGTCTCCTCTGTGTGGGCTCCTGACAGCTCTGTTTGTTGTTGATGCTCAGTGGGCGAGTGTGAGGCGTCGGCCATGCTGCCGCTCGAGTGCCAGTACCTGAACAAGAACGCCCTGACCACCCTGGCCGGACCCCTCACGCCCCCCGTGAAGCACTTCCAGCTGAAAAGGAAGCCCAAGAGTGCCACACTGCGTGCAGAGCTCCTGCAGAAGTGTAAGTTCCTGCACGTCCCTCACCCGTCCACCTCGTTTGCACTCCCGCCCCACCATGCGCCCCCTGCCACAGCACACACCTGGCCCGCTGGGCACTCTGCCCCACCATGCACCCCTGCCCACCGCACTGCATGCTGCACGCCCGCCTTCCTCACCTCACTGCACATCCCTGCCGCGTAATTTTCTTCCACATTTGGACATGTCTTGTCTCTTCAAGAAGATAATGGTTTACCATCATTTGCTATGAAAATGAATGTTCTGAAAATGTGCTTCAGGAAGTTGAGAATGTTCGAGTTGAGAACTCTGTGATCTTTGTTAAAGAAATGAGATCTGTGCCAGTTGAGTCACCCCCGTCACACGCCCCCCACATAACAGGTTCTAGGTCACCCTGTCATACCCCCCCCAGATAACAGGTGTTGAGTCATCCCATCACATAACCCCCAGTTAACAGCAGGTGCTGGGTCACCCCGTCACACCCCCTCCCAGATAACAGGTGCTGGGTCACCCCGTCACCCCCCAGATAACAGGTGCTGGGTCACCCAGTCACCCCCCAGATAACAGGTGTTGAGTCACCCCATCACATGCCCCCCCAGATAACAGGTGCTGGGTCACCCCGTCACCCCCCAGATAACAGCAGGTGCTGGGTCACCCCATCACATGCCCCCCCAGATAACAGGTGCTGGGTCACCCCATCACCCCCCCAGATAACAAGTGCTGGGTCACTCCATCACATGCCCCCCCCAGATAACAGCAGGTGCTGGGTCACCCCATCACCCCCCCAGATAACAGCAGGTGCTGGGTCACCCCGTCACACCCCCTCCCAGATAACAGGTGCTGGGTCACCCC